CACATCCAGGACTTCAACCTGGCCACTGCTTCCCCAGCACACAGGAAAATGGTGACAGGGCCATCTCCTGCTTGTGGTGTGGGCTCACCAGTGACTTCCCATGTAGTGAAGAGGCATTAGGAGAGAGATGACAACCATCTGTATGAGCTGAGCAGGCTGGTGCTAATTATCATGCAGAGACAAGATCACAATCACTGAGCTGGCAGCACCAGGCATGTGCTTGCTCAAGACACAGGGCAGCACTCCTCTGCTCTGGTGGTTCCCCAGTGTCACGTTCAGTGGGAAAGGTTGTAAAATTACCGTGAAAGGGTAATCCATTACAAATCACTCATTAATGCAACTGAGAAATCAGTGACGTATTACTGATTATGCCTGTCATGCTAGCTCGGTGTCAAGGCTTGGTTCATGCTGCTGGTTTGTCCTGTGCTTTGTATAGCAGCCTTCTCAGCACAACTCACACACAGAGCTTCTCTCCACCTCACCCCAATGAGTACATGGGGCTTCCCCTCGTGGAGCTGCTGTGCCTGCCTGCACATATACTGCCCCTCCAGCAGTCAGTCTGCTTTAACACTGCAACTAAACATCCAGCTTCAAATTTGAGACCCTTTTGCATCCTTTCTGGCAGGTACCAGGATGTCCTAAGCCTGCAAGCTGTGCCCTGCAGCCATCTGCCTGGTGATACTTGGTGGTTTTCGGAGAGCAATCTCAGCAGGTGAGTCACTGGGCTTTCTCACCTCTGCTGGCAGCGCCTGGAGCCACAGCCAGTGCAGTGCAGGTAAGACCTGCTCTATCCTGCACTCATCTGAGCCCAATTCCAAAACCTCACCACCTCAGCACAAATTGCTGGAAGGCCTCTTTGCTAGCTACAGCCCCTTGGCTCTCCTCCAGAGACAGAAACAGCTCTAATCATCTTCCTACTAGTTTGGCACCATCGCAGTGTTATTGCTGCTTCTGCATGAGGAGTTTTGCCTGTGGTGGATATTCCCACTTTAAACACTCTCATTAAGGAGCAAGAACTTTGTGCAAGATCCTCACATGCAGCCCCAGAGCCCACATCTAACACCAGTCTCAGGATAGGCACTGCTGACCAACAGCAAATCATGGGAGCAGCTAGTACTCACTATATATTCAGTCCTTGATTTATTCAGCTCAGCCACAGGTGGGTCTTGAACATAAAAGAATTATGAAGAATGAGGCAAGAGCAGGGAAGTATTTAACTAGTGAAGTTGGGAAGGAGACAAAGCACAGATCAGCAAAATGAAGGCATTGGATATAAAGAAGGAGCTGCCCAAGGAAGTTCACTCAGGAGTCCTGTAGCACAGTCACAGTAAAAGCTGCAAGGTATTTATAAAGTTTGGAGCAACAGCTGTGCAGGCAGCAGAAGTGGGGAAATGAAACACCCCAATTCTTGCATTTATACTCATTGACACAGGGGAATTGTGGCTCAGTGCCACCAGGAGGCCATATCTGTCTCAGAACAAGGGGTTGCCAACAGGCAGAATGATTAAGTTTCAGTAAAAGGCTAAAGCTATCACAAAATCCAACAAAACTTGAAGAGCTCCAGAGAAGCCAACAACCAAAATATATATACAAACTCATCAATGAGAGAAGACACGCAAAATATGCCGAACGAAGAAGCAGCAGAAAGGGACAGGAGACACAGCAAGAGTTGGACTGAAGTAGTTAACTGAGGTGACAACCGGAGGCAGCATCCTGTTGGCATTGGGAGATGGACATCTCTGCAAGACCAAACCTTCAGGGTTTCACATGGAAATCTGTGGGTAGGACTTGCTGGTCTTGTTCCTGGTGGGAGGTCAGACTGGATGGCAGATTGGAGAACTGCTGCCTGACTCCCAAAGGCATCCAGCATGTGGACACAGCTCCCACCACACCACAGGATGCAGGTACATGCTTTTTATCACCAGATTGTTCCTCCACAGTGTGCAGGAAAACTCTGCTCTTCAGATTTGCAATGAGCCACTTCCTTTTTTTTTAAACTTTTTTTAGCATCGCAATTCTTTTCTCTTCCTCCTCCACCTCAAAAAGGTGGATATTTAATCATTTGAATTGGAAGAGCTTGTTACCATGAAGCAATGGGAGGTAGCGGTGCTGCACCTAGAGACATCACGCTGTCAACTGGACTATTCACTAAAACACAACTAATTATTCTGCCAGATCCCCAGCCAGGTGACAAATTCATTCACAGCACTAACTAAAAGATGGGAAAGAGAAGAAATTGCACATTTCCTATGACTGAAACTACATTAACCTGTTACCCCAAAGAAAACTTTGTCAAAAGTTTTTATTGCGGTGCTGAGCTATACGCCAGATGGCTGAAGTGCATTGCCAGAGATCCCAGTGCTGTGCTAGGGAAGTTCATCTGCAGAGCACAGTTTGCATTCAATATCCATCAGCATTCAGAGGAAAAAGACCTTTTTCTCAGAACATCTGCAGAGTATCTTCTGTGTCAGAGGACCTAAAACTGTTATCAGAAACTGCTAATTAAAACTTAACAAAAGCAAATACCTGTTTTTCTAATCTGACCTGAGGACACTGAAAACTAAAGCAGGACCGGGGAGACTGCTGGAAATGAAAGCTTTTACTCAATCTGTCAGTCAATTCACAAGGGAAAGTTTTCTGGATACTTCAAAAAGTCTAGAATTACATCATCATGGCAAGGGCACACCAGCATGTTGCTTGTTAATCATTTCCAGGAAAAAGACTATCGGAAATCCATTCTTAGTAGCACCAGTGCCCGGCAATGTGGGCTCCCTTGCTCACTGCAGGGTGGGTACCTCAGATTTCCCTTGCATCAATTTCCTCTTTGAGGAAATCTCCACCCCTGCCAGAAACCTGCAATGCAAAGAGACCATTTCACACGTCCTTCTGACAAGACTGGATTCACACAATACCCTACAGTGATGACAAACTCCCAGACTCCAGCGAAACCATTCTGCTCAGGTATAAGTGAGAGACGCACCCTGTCCCAAACAGTGAGTGCTGCTAGATTTTGCATGTTCACCTCTGCTCCAAAGACATGAGACACCTTCTCTCACCAGACATAACTCCAGGGAGCATGCCAAGGTTCAGCATTGCCCAAGTTGCCCTGAACTTGCTCCTTAAATAAAATGACCAAGACTCGTTTACCATACACATATGACCATAGCATCATTCCCTTTCAAAAACT